TTCCCCCCCCCCCCCCCCCCCCCCCCAAACTTAGCAAAGGTTATTGCTTCATTTCAGAAAATTCAGTTCAGAAAATACTTGACAGAATAATGATTGGAGCTTTAAGCCCTTTAAACCAATTTTCTTCAAATGTCTATTGCTTTATTTGGAATGATTTATAAACAAATTGCTTTTGAAGATACATGGTACAGTATTTTTGATGAAATAGACACTGCTACTGCAGTTTGAATCTGTAGCTTGGAAAAAAGTTCCTCAAAGCTTAGGAGTTAAAACCCAAAGGACTTCAGTTGTCTTTGCGGGATCTGGCTGAGATTTTTGGGCATGGAAACTTTGTTCAATAGCCAAACTGAGTATTTTTAGGTGAAACATGACCTCATAATCCAGAAGTTGAATGGCAGAAGGTTTTCCATTTAGTAGGAGTGTTTGAGAACCCCCACAAGAAGAACTAGAAATGATGTAAGAAGAGCTAGAAGTGTGCACTTGTATGAACCAGAATGACTGTTATTTATTAAAAGAGATGTGGCTCTCCAAATCATTAGGACTGTCTTAGCTTTTCCATTCTAAAACCCTGCTGCGTTAAATTGCTCTTCATTTCCCAAAGCTTACACCTGCTGGGTTGTGCCAAGCCAGGTGAAACCAGAGGAAATTACTGAAGGTATTTCTGAAAGGAAATAGCAGTAAATGCTAGTTTTGATATGACACCCCAGTTGAGGATTGGATGAATGTATTCACTCCAGAAGACTTTAAAATGGCCTGTTCTGGTGCTAAAGAAAACAGATCTGTGTGGCTCTTCTAACTGCACAGGGATGGTTAAGCATTTCATTGAGCATGGTCATGCATTATGTCATCCCGTCCAATCCCCTGTGCAGTATCAAAAAGATTTGTCAGTAAGCTTTTGAGCAGAGAAAGTGCCTGTCTTTCTACTTCATTTGCAAGGGAGTTTTAATGTATTTGCCTCTTCCACTTTGGATTTCACCTCTGTTCCTTTCTAGTAGCTTAGATGTGCAACAGACTTTTCATCATATGTGAAAACCACCTCGGTTTCTTGGATCCCAGAAGCACTGAACTATAGTCTTATTGGACCTATCAGTTTATTTGATACTAAGAGGAGTAAATTTATATTACTTATTGATGTCCACTGCAAGAGACTATATTCTATGCTTACATGTACATTGTTCCTTAGTATTCTGCTCCCTTCTGCACATGTGGGCAATTGCCCTCCTCTGCTCTGAAAGTCCAGCCTCTCACAGCCCACATGGAGTGTCTCTGAGGCTAGTTAGGATAGTTAGGAAGGTCTCATTTCATGATGTTTTAGCAGAGTAGTATTTGGTAGTAAATATGTTAGCACCTTCTCCATAATTACACTATTACGCATTTTTGTCAGTTACTGTGTAATTACATTTAAGAGAACTAAGTCTGGGCTGAGAAACCTTCACTGTGGTTCAGCTGACTGTGGTATCTTCTTTATCATATGCTACTGTGGTAATATAGTGTATTTTGCAGTTTCCTTATAATCTTATGGGGGACAACTTTGTTTAGACTTTTTTTTTAGTGGAGAAAAAGCATGTGTATACCTTGTGAATTTTGGACTGGCATATCTTGCCAGATGTTGGCATTCCCAGAACAATCCTAGGCTGGTGGCCACTCCAGTCAGTACTGACCCAGTGGCAATACCAGAGGATCAGGTGAAGAGTGGCTTGCTGCATGCAGAATAAATATGCCTGGGGTGATATGATAGATATGCCTACAGAGTGGCTGGAAGTCTGTGTAGAGGAAATGGACCTGGGGGTATTGATTGATGCTCGGCTGAACATGAGCCAGCAGTGTGTCCAGGTGGCCAAGAAGGCCAATGGCATCCTGCCTTGTATCAGAAACAGTGTTGCCAGCAGGAACAGGGCAGTGATTGTCCCCCTGTGCTCAGCTCTGGTGAGGCCACATCTCAAGTGCTGTGTCCAGTTTTGGGCCCTTCGCTGTAAGAAAGATATTGTGACCCTGGAGCACCAGGGCAGAGAAGGGCAACAAAGCTGGTGAGGGGTCTGGAGCACAGGCCTTATGAGGAGCAGCTGGGGGAGCTGGGATTGTTCAGTCTGGAGAAGAGGAAGCTCAGGGGAGACCTCATTGCTCTCTATAACTACTGAAGGGAAGGTGTAGTGAGCTGAGGGTCGGTCTCTTCTCTCGTGTAACTGGTGATAGGACTAGAGGGAATGGCTTCAAGCTGCGCCGGGGCAGATTTAGTCTGGACTTCAGGAAATACTACTTCTCTGAAAGTGGAATGGGCTGCCCAGGGAGGTGGTGGAGTCACCGACCCTGGAGGTGTTCAAGGAACGTTTGGATTCTGTGTTGAGGGACATGGTTTAGTGAGAAGTATTGGTGGTAAGTGGATAGTTGGACTGGATGATCTTATAGATCTTTTCCAACCTTGGTGTTTCTGTGATTCTGTGGGATTCAGCTTTTTTGAGATACCATCTTTTTCCTGGTTGAGAGTTCTAGGAGCATCCTGGGAGATGGAATTAGATCCCAGCAGACTGTGCTACAGACAAGGCAATAAATCTCTGGAAGATGTGAAAAGGAGAAGTGTGTATGTGTTCTGGAAATGTCCAGGTTTCTTCTCCTGTGCTGCGTGCAAGTCAGCATCTTTTACCACCAGCAGCTCTGCCCACCTGAAAAATAGAGATGGCATCACCTGCCAACCATGCTGGGAGAGTCTGGAGGAGGCATAAGTTATTACTGCAGAGTACTTTGAAATTAAAACTTCCCATGCAGTGCTTCTTTGTGGCTGGATAATGGTAAGGGGAGTTCTCAGGGCTCAAAACTGAACAGCGTGGAGGTTTTTGAACTCTCATTTGTTTGCTTCATCTCTTCAGGGCAGATGCATGTATTTTCCTGTCTGTTTTTTTGTGGGTTCCCCCCCACCCCCAGTGGTGCTTCTTTCTAGTAGTTTTAAGTACACTTGTCTTTTTTGACAGGAATCAATTTGCAATTTGCCAGAGACAGTGCTGCCTCAACTTATCCCTAGTAGTGGTCTACCTTCCAGAGCACCCGTAGGAACTGGTTGGTTGAGCAAAAAAATCCCTTTTTGTGTCCCTGCCTATTGTTAATCAAGTCTGACCTGTCAAACTGTGGGTCAAATTACTTCAGGGAAATTAAGAAGTTCTGGTCTATATGACTCCCTTTCCTTTTCAGAAGATACGGAACTTTTTGAATGGGACTGCTCTCTTTTCACCCTCAACTTCCGACCTGCCTATCTAATATGATCGTGGCTAAAAAAATTAATGAGTGTGTGATAGTATAAGGCAGAGAATCCCCTGGCATTTCCATGAGAAAGGGAGCCAGATATTCAGTTCTGTCAGATCTTTCAAAGCACTGCTGCTTAACAAGGGATTTTTGGAAGCTGCCTTATCATCACTGAGGAAACCAATTTGCAGGTCAAGGGGATCTTTATAAGCCAGTGGGTTATGACATTAGAAAAACAACTGCAGGCAAGCCAAGGTCCCCTATCTTTGGGACTGGTATTTGCGTGTGTCTAGTGAGTATTCTGACGGATGAGAATATAAGTTTTTGGTTTGTGTAGTTCTGCAACATAGCTGGTCAGCTTCTCTGGACATATGCGTGGTCATTCCTTGTTCCAGCAAGATCCTCCTGGCTCAGAACAGGAACTACAGTAGCTGCTGCTTTCCCACATTTTGGTAGTTTCCTGAAGGAGTGTTTGCAAACTTTTTACTTTCCAAAAGTAACACTGGTGTCTACTTTTCATCAATGACAGCAGGAGATAAACATGAAGGTGTAGAGCAGAATGAGCTGTAGTGTTCATATTTTATCCTGCATAGTGTAACACCAGGGTAGATGCTGGACAGCCAAAGATGTGGTGTCAGTGGAACTTGCCCTGCTTTTTTTTGCGAAGTTCTAACCTAAGACACTAAAGAGTAACTATGGAGAACTTCAAGTAGAAGTACTGAGAAGGGTGAACAGATTTGCTGGAAGCAGTCATGGGATTGCAAATTGGGGTGGACTAATGTTTTTTATTTTATTAATGGATAAGATATTCCTCAGTAGGACTGAAACTTTGAAAGTAGTGACATGTGGAAAGAAGATGAAGAAAGATGTGTGCCTCTTTAAAAGCAGTTTCCTCTGTGTCCTTGCACTGATAATCTGTCCCAGGAATCCTAAAACATTTCACATCACACCTTCTGGTGAGGCCTCACGTAGCAGCTGATCTTGTGGCAGTACCATGAATGAACATTCTCAGAGTACGAGCTACCAGCCTTCTCGGAGCAGCCATGGGCATGCATTTTGTTAGAGCTCAGTATCCTTTAGAGAGCTGCTCCTTGTGGCTGATTTTTCTCCTGTCCTCTCTCAGCTTGTGGAGAAACCCTGCAGGACAGCACAGGAAATTTCTCAGCCCCTGGCTTTCCAAGTGGCTATCCCTCATATTCCCACTGTGTCTGGAGAATCTCGGTGACCCCAGGAGAGAAGGTAGGTGGCAAGTGGACCAGGTGTAGGTGTGGTCTTCACTCCCCTTATGTGAGTTTTGCTTGTGCTGCTAATGTTAACTGTTGCCAAAAAGATTGTCCTGCAGACTTCTGCATGCCTGGAGTGCAGGAATGGGATCTGTCCTGCCAGAGATGGGGTCAGGAATTAGTGGCTCTGACAAAAGGTAACACTGGAATAGAATCCTCTTGTAGGTCTGGACTGTCAGTTGATCCCTGATCCCTCCTCTCGTTTCACAGATACACTCTGCCTGGACAGTTTCCTCAGCTATTCAGCTTGCCACTTGCTAGCTCAGATTGAGCTGATAGCTGACGAAGTGTTCTTTCAAACCAAGTGCTGGTTAGATGAGTTGGATAAAATATACCGGCAAGATGGAGTCCAAAGGGAGCTGAGGAGTTGAGTGACATCAGTAGCCTGTCCCTGTCATGTGGGCATAATGCCTCTGTCAGGGGAACCCTGCTCCCAGCCTTGAAACACCAAGGCATGCTGTGCATCAATCAGCTGCTCTGTCCATTTTTCAGCTCCTTTTGTTTTATTGATCTTCCCATGGAAACAAAATCTGTCATTAATCCATAATGCCAGCCCTTCAGGTCTTTCACGTCTTACTGGACTGCAATAATACATGGCCTGACTTGGGTGCTTCCTGGCAGAACAGCTTTGCTGAGGACCACCCTGAAGACACACTTAGGACTGAGACTTGGAAGAACAAAAGAAAGTGCAGTTGTCTTGCTCCTGGACTCAGTTCTGTCATCTGCAGGCCTGGTCCTATATTGTACTGAGCTCCTGATGTTGGCTTCAGGGAGAGTTTTGCGAGGTACCAAGAACAGTCCAGGTCTTGGAAAAATTTTTGTGGCAAACAATATATATAAATTATTATATGGCTTAAATCTTGCAAGGACAAAAAAATGCCACGAGAATATCCATCCAGTGACTTCCATTGGTCCAGAATGAAGCATGTAATCCTTCTACAGGGGAAGAATGCCAAAGGGATAACGTTTTCTTGCTGAAATCTGCCCTAGAAAGCCTTTGAACACGATGTATGAGTGGCAGTATCAGAATGTGGAAACTTGTAAGACACAGCTACTTCTGCTGACTGGAGATGTTTGTATAATGGAATAAATCCCAAGCATCTCTATTTTTGGGGAATATGTGTCTCTATAATATTCACATTGATTAAAACTAAGTGTTTCATTTTTAACTTTTTTTTTTAAGGAGATTTTAGTTGCATTTTACTAACTATGAAGCAGTGACTGTGTGAATAACAAAATGGATAGTAAAATGCCATCTTCTGTCATGTACTGTATGGTATAATTACGACTCCTTGAGAAGTCTTTCCTTTTTGTTGAGGAAAATTAATTTGAAAATCTAACCTGCTGTCCACTTTTTTTCATGTATACTCACTTATGCAACACTGTAGCAGAGATGAAACAGACTGTAGGGTCTTGATTTTAAAGTAGCTCCCATTCCAAGGGTAAGCATGTGCCCTGTCCTTTCAGATCATGTTGAATTTCACATCAATGGATCTATTTAAAAGCCGCCTTTGTTGGTATGATTATGTGGAGGTGCGTGATGGCTACTGGAGGAAGGCTCCCTTACTAGGTGAGTAGCTGCTTCATCTTAATTGCTTTTTTTTTTTTTTTTTTTGTGCTTTTAAAGCTTATTTTGGGAGGAGAACAAAAAATATCCCAACACCATAAAAAAAAAAAAGAAAAAAAAATTTCTTTACCTGGAAGTAACCTGTGTCCAGGCAGAGCACTGGCCATTAATGTTAGATATGTCAGCACGTTATATTTGCACCAAATGATCAATGCTCTAGTCCTCTAGTAGCAAAGACTTTATTCCTTCCTTTTCTAGCTTGTGAACTGCAGCAGAGAGGGAGATGAATGAAAGGCATGGCTGAGATTAGAAGTGTGGTCTCTGGAGCTTTATGATGCCTTTTTCATAAGATTTAAATGGAACTATCAGACAGTAAGAATGAAGAAGACTTGCAGCTCCTGTCCAAAGCTCCTGACCTTATTTCTTGTTAAGAATACAAATCAGAGAATAATAGAATAGTTTGAGTTGGAGGGCACCTTAAAGATCATCTAGTTCCAACCCCTGCAGTGGGTAAATACACCCTCTACAGGATCAAGTTGCACATAGCCCCAGCCAACCTAGCCTTGAATGCTGCCAGGGATGGAGCATCCACAGCTTCTCCGTGTAGCCTGTTCTGGACACAGCACTCTGTACTTTAAGCCTCTATAATTCTAGTGAGGAATTTGTCTCTGAGCCCAAGGATTACTGATAGTGCCTAGAATATAAAACTCTGCAAAGGCTCTATTGCTCCCGAAGATCTCAAAGTGCAGCTCTCCCTTTGTACTCTCTGTATTCATTTCTGTGTCTTGCTATCGTAACTGCAAGTTGTCTGCCACATAAGTGGGCAGCGAGAATTCTCACCTGCTTTTACCAGCTTTGCTACTGGCTCAGATCCTGACCCAGTCTTCTGACCGTCTTTACTTGCCAACACCTACTTCTATCTGAAAGTTAAAAATCAATCAGCTTCTTGCATCACCAGTAGAGCTGAGGTGCCCGGGCTGCAGCATGTATCTAGGCTAATGTGAGGTCAGTGGGGCAATGGAAGTTTAGGTGCCAAGCTCACCTTAGCTCAAGGGACATTCCAGCTGTAACACAGGATGAAGTTCTTAGGTTGGAACTGTACTGCTCTCTAGAGGTTTCTGTGGGGCTGTGTTTCAGTGTGGAGTTGGCAGCTGTTTTTATTACTTCCTGCCTGTTTTGGGGTTGGCAGCAATTATTGTTTTCTGTTACACATGCTTCAGGTAACTGCTGCTCCAGCAGCTGTAATTTCAGCTCTTGTTACTTATTTTTTTTTCTGCTGAGTAATTTGAAGGTATTTCAGAAGCCAAGCCACCTCCCTGTCACCTTCATGCAGGTAGACTTGTGAGTGTTTCCATCTGGAATGAGACACTGGTTGAAGAGGCTCCTGCAAGGGGCTGAGCCCATGAAATTAGCTCAGCAGAGGCAAACAGACGGCAATTCAGCAGGGGGCGGGGAGAGGGATTAGTGTGAATTGTGAAAGCATGGACTTCTTGCAGAGGAAAAAAAATAATACATGTGCACTGCATATTTTCCCAGGGTGAAAACCTTGCCTTTAAATGTATAACATTTTATGAATGGGCCCTTTATCACACTCTGAGGAGTTTGCTCATTCTAGTTCCTCATCTGTTTCCTCTCCTTGACACCCTTGTCAAACTGCAAGTCTAAATCCAGGAGGCAGTTGCTCAGTGACCCTAGAGGAAGGAGTTTTGCAGAACTGATGCTGTTTGTTAGTATTCTTTCTGGTAGCAGAGATAGGAGATACAATTGTTATGCCGTTTGCCTGTGTCACACTGCCCAAACAGTGCTGGGTAGCTTTGGCACATGGGCTAAGGATAGAATTGCCAAATACAGCTTGCATCTGGACTAATAATTGAATAAGGGATTCTACAAGGGGAAAAAATTTGGTGATGAAACTGCCACTGAAGTTCACAACTCACTTTCCATGCATTCTTATTTCCCTTTACTGCCTGTCACAGGGGCAGAACTCTCACATCCTTGAAGGCCGTGGGCGTTCTGAGGCTGCCAAGTGGTAAAGATAGGGTAAGCAGAGCCAAAAGTGACAACCATCTGATTGTAGGCAGATGACTACACAGGGGGCCTCTTGGCTTTTAATGCACAGAATTCATGTCAACCACTCTGCCCTTTGTATGTAGGAAAGCAGCAGCCTTCTCTGTCTGCCAGTAAACAGGACTCAAAGGATCTGTTTCCTTCTTCAGTGCAGGGAGCACTTAATGCAGCCTGCTAATGTGGAACTAAGGTACTATTTTTGTCAGTAAGTGATTAACCAGGTTTTCACTCAGACAAGGATGTTCAAAGAAGCCATTCTCTGGTTTCACAAAGCCGGGATCAGGTTCCCTGTCACCACTGCTGTGACTGAATTTCTGAATAACTGCTCTCTGCTTCTGTCAAATTCCCCTGGGGATTCAGTTGGACGAGATGCCAGTGCCTCTAGCATGAAGCCCTGCTGGTGTCAGCTGAAGTAAAGAACCATGTTGGCAGCATGTGCTCACTGTGTAGTGTTTGCTCTGTTACCCTGAGGAGCCTCTGTCTGGGACAGGTAGAGAAACACCAGAACAGTTTTAGGGTTGTTGAGGTTGTTCAGGCTGCTCTGGTAGATGCCTTCTGCAGCTGCTCCATTCCAGTATTCTCCATTGCTGGCAAGATTCAGGTATTTACCAATGCTGATGCATACCAGGGAGCAAAAAGAGCACTTGGTCACAAATCTACTGAGTGAAAGAGACTGGATGACTGCAAAGGTTTAATCAGAAGGGGGTTTGGCTAGGAATAAGATCAGAGGATAAGGGATTTCTAGCACTAGCAACGCGATGAGCTTTGTTGGTGCTGTGGGGGATCTGCAAAGTCCTCTTTCCAGTATGGTTACATCTCACCTTCCGTTTGACTTGTACAGGAATTTCTGAGGCTTGATAGGTAGGAAGGACAGTTCCTTAATGTCCCATCTCAAAAGGATGGTGGATAGTTCTCCTCTGTCAGCTCATTTGTCCAATCATGTGAATCAAAACAGGAACCCCTTTGAATTTACTGAGGCAACAGAGGTTGTGTCTTTAATAACTGAATTCTGCTTCCAGCTGAAGGAAATCTTTATCAATTTAATAATTGAAGAGAATATACATTAATGGGGAGGAGACAGAAATTCAGAAACATGAATGGTAGGAGTGAAAGGGTATCTTATACAAGCATTACTCCTTTAACCACAGACTGTCTTTGCTTTCTGGAGCCATAGGTGCCTGCTACCAGTGGCTGTACTGCCTGGAGATCTTGATCATTCTTTTCCTGCCTTCTAGGTAGATTTTGTGGTGACAAGATTCCTGAACCAGTAATCTCCACGGACAGCAGGCTGTGGATCGAGTTCCGGAGCAGCAGTAACATCCTGGGCAAAGGCTTCTTTGTGGTCTATGAAGGTACAGCCTTTAGCTAGTAGTGTATTGCATTGCATGGAGCAGTCAAAACAGGGTGCAAGGGTTTATGGGAGCAGTAGGACTTCTGCTTCACCATTTAGTTAAACACAGCACCTGCTCATGCTTTTATGGGGATTGGCAGAATCTGTGGGCTGTTCCATCAGGTAAGATATGGCTCTTCTAACTGGATTATAATTTCTTTTGAGGAATAGGATGGCAGCACAGAGCAATGTGTGGCTTCCAATCATAGGCCAGGGTCCTGTTTGCACTAACCCACCTCTGCAAGCAGTGGTGCTCTGTATAGCAGGTGTTGCTTCTAGTAATTTAACACAGTTCTGTTGCAGGTCTTTATATTGCTTAATGCAGGTATTTCTTGTTTCTTAAATGCAGAGGCTGCTCTTTGGTTTCTTGTGTGTTTTACTTATAGAATATTAGAAATTAGCATGGCAGATTTTCTGCAGATCCAGGTACTTTGGAAACTTCCATGACACTGGGATACTGAGACAGTTTTAGAGGAGTATGTCATTAGTGAATCTCATAAAGTAGTTCACTTAGAAGGGGCCTACAGCAATCAGCAAGTCCAATTGCCTGACCACTTCAGAGCTAGCTAAAGGTTAAACTGAGGACATTATACAAATGCCTCTTTTTAAAAATAGTTACTGCAGTAACTGAAAATTCCTGATACTAGTGCTATAACAGTTAAGTGCAGGTTAATCTAAAGCCTCTGGGACGTCTCTGTTGTCCACAATAAGAGTATGAATAATTATTTCCTTTCATTTAATGCAATAGCTGTGGTTACCAACACTGAAGTGAGTTTCAGTCCTATTTTCTACAAGTTCACCTGCTGTTCCCTCTATTATTTTTTTCACCATTGCATTGCACATCCTTAGTGTTCTTTTCCAGAACAGCTCTGTAGTCTGTAACATCCACGCTCAAATACTGGTAGGTTCTAACCTGTTCTCCATATATTTCTTAGGGCCTTTTACATTGATCTCCAAAGTGCATTCCTGTGCAAAGCCACTGACTGCATCAATATTAACAGTAGCTTTTGTTTTGGAATGCTCTAACAGTAAACGTTTTTTTACCCACTAATTTAAACATCCAATCTTTTTGTATCTCTTCCTTTCTATCAACATAGACAATACATTTTCTTGAAGTGGTCCAATGTTCAAATGAATATGATTGCTTAAAGCTATTTCCCAAACAGCCACCAAATCTGTCATCTTCTCTAAATGGCTGCACCGTGACTTCCACGGGGCTCTTCTCCCCTTTGCTGTTTTGAGCCTCAAAATCAGTAACACTTTTCTACATACACTTATTTTTGACAATAAAGATCTTAAAATATGTAAGGGCCTTCACTGTTCTCTGGACAACAGGCATTTTCTTGGAAGAATCAGTTATGAATTTGAATATAACTGTCCTGATGATACATCATCTTTCAGTAGCCACAGGAGCAAACATAGCATTGAAAATCCAGTACTGAGTGTCCAGTATACTCATGAATAATGATACTAGCAGAAGGAGGCAAAGAAAATGCAGGACTGTTGGGGAAGTTCAAATAAAGCAGATGAGGATTTCACAACCGTGTGGGGCTTTTCACAGGAGAAATATCTGATTTCTGCAGGATCTGCTGTCCCAGAGACAGAAGTATCTTGCCAGATTTTTTTTAACATTTCTCCTGAGAAGCAGCTGTTGCTGCACCATGTGGTTTGTAACACCCCTTTTTTGTGGGAATTTGTAGTAACCAGAATAGTGAGTTCCTAATAGACTTTTTATTTTTACCTATTGCTTTTGTGGACTAGTCAACTTAGTTCTTACCACTGGAGGATAGCCCACCATATCTGTTCTAATTTTTAAAGGAAAAAAAGCAAGGGTAGGACTGTCCTTGGGAAGACACATCTCTGTTCTTCATCATATGTGTTAATATGATATCATGTTTCATATTGATAAATTACACTGAAAGATTTTTTAATATTAACTATATTCCAAGGTTTGAAAAACTTGTTTCTCTGGATAATTTTTCCTGTTTCTTGTTAATGAATAAATGACCCTTACAGGTCCGGTAAAGATGAGAAATACTTGCTTCGTGTAAAATCTGAGGAGAGCAAGTGAAAGTGCAGTGTGCATCTAGTTCTACTTTGCGTCCCTCTGATTAGTCATATTTGCCCTCTTGCTGTTAGTACAAGCATTTTTCAAGGCTTCAACTTCTTATGTAATTTTTTCCTGTAAGCAATTTCCCTTTAAAAAGGTAGGAAATCTGTTGCTAAGCCTGAGAGCAAGTACAGAGGATGAATGGTGGAAGTCAGTTTGTACCACTGGTGGCCCATTTCTTAGCTCAGTCTTATCTTGTGAAAAGGATGGGTAATAAGATTGTTAGCATCTCTCCAAATGCTTTATTTGCTGAAATGGGAGAGTTTTCAAAAATCATCCTTAATAACAATTTCCCTGATTCAATTGCATGTAGTATCTCAATTATTTCCTCCATTGTAACATAGTTTACTCAGATAATTTGTGACTTTTGTGTTTAGACAGTAAGTGTAATTTTTATTTCTAAGCGAGGCTGCCCTGAATTCTCTTTCTGTTAATTTTTGTCCAGAAGTTCTGTGTTTCTCTTAGTTTGTCTTTTTTCTTTTGAAATCTTCTCCCTTACATATTGGAAAGCCAAAGTGTGTCTTAAGACTGCTTTTCTGAGAGCACGTGTAAACTCTTGTGTGTTCAAACTTTGCTGGGAGCTCTGTGGGCAGGGACTGATTTTGGGGTTGGTTTCCTCCAGTTCTTGACTCTAAAATTTTAAATAGATGGGAGGAAAGATGTAGAAGTGTGTAGCCGCAGAACAGAATTATTTGATGGTAAATCACATAAAGATAATGTAGTGAAAGTGTCTTCGTTGTTCCTTTCAAGAGATTCAAGATGGAGAAGATGCTGGTGGCTTTGCTCTATAACACTGCTGGCAGCCCAGAATTTATCATTTCTGTAGACTTCTCAGGCTATGTCAACAGATTCATCCATTTAGCAGTAAAACTCTTCCTGTGTAGTTAAACACTCAACTGAAATTTAATGTGAACTATTGCAATGGGTAGAGAGAATATTGTTTGCTGTCTGTTTTATGGCTATTAAAAAATAGTAAGACTTGTCAGTTCTCTGCTCTTGTAATCCTCTTTCTGTTAGGTATGGAGGCAGTTCTCTGAAGGGTCATAGAATCATAGAATGGTTTAGTTTGGAAAGAATGTTAAATATCATCTAGTTCCAATCCCCACCATTGGCAGGGCTGCCACGCACCAGATCAGGCTGCCCTGGGTCCCATCCAACCTAGCCTTGAACACCCTCTGACTAAAGAATTTCTTCATCTAACAAAAATCTCCCCTCTTCTTGTTTAAAGCCATTCCCCCTTGTCCTGTTGCTATCAGACCATGTAAGAAGTCAGTTTCCCCTCCTGCCTACAAGCTCCCCTCAAGTACTGGAAGGCCGCAACATTGCCTCCCCAGAGCTTTTGCTTCTCCATTTGTGCACCAGAATGGCCTCTTGAATGTTGCTTGATGAACAGCTTAGCTTATGCTTGTTAATATCGCCATCTCGTGGCTGGATCACACCTGCAACTTCTTCTTTGGATTTTTTTTCTTCCCTTCTTTTCTTGGTCCTTATTGCTGTCTGCAAGCATTAAGCAGTTATGGAGGTGACCTGGAGTGTGAAACACACAAATCCACTGCATTTCTATGCCCCAGTGAGTTCACCTTGTAAAGAGGTTGTTACAGCAAGATGGGAGACACTATCAAAGATGAAACGTTAGATTTTGGAAAACCTTCCATGATACATGTTGCTTTTGTGGAACAAGTACTACTGGTGCAGATTTGAACGGGGAAGAAGGCTATGTATGGAGTAGTTTTTTATGTAAGGAAAAGCTTGCAATCACATGGTTTTGTTGAATGTTTTTTATGAAGCTATTTGTGGTGGAGAAATTCGCAAAGATGCTGGCCAGATCCAGTCTCCTAATTATCCAGATGACTACAGACCTTCCAAAGAATGCATCTGGAAGATCACAGTTTCTGAGGGCTATCACATAGGAATCTCATTCCAAGCATTTGAGGTGAGAAATGTCATTGCAAGCACTTGAATAGGTATTGCTTCAGCTCTGTAGATCCTTTAAAATGAAAAAGGAATAGATGTAAAAAATTATATTCAAAACAAACTTTTAGAATAGTTCAGGACATCATCTCTCCTCACCAGAAGTTTGATCAGAGATTTTCAAAGCCAAATTTTAAATTTTCAATGAATTTAAAAATTAGGAAGAACTAGAATGCACAAAAAACTGTGGATGTTAAGTAAGGGACTCATGAGTCCTTAAGATTTCACTCTGGTCAGATAAAATTGAATGGTCACAATCCAAGCAAATAGCTTCATGCTGATGCTGCTGGTACTTCTGCGGATTTCAGCATGTTTGTGGCTGTCAAAATAGATATCACATTTTCAGATGGTCGATCATGAAAAGTTCAGAAAGTTTTCTATTGGTTATAGGATGGCATTCACTCTTAGATAGGTGCCCAGTGATATATTGTATAAATCACAGACAAAAGCTGATAGGACCTCGGTTTTTACATGAATCCTATCTAGCTAATTGATTCCTCTGGCTTGTGCACACTTACTGCACTTGTCCAGGAAAGAGCAGGTACCATACTTTCCTGCCAGCAAACCCAAGGCTATTTCTTGAGCCTATGCTTACAGCTTCTCATAAAAAGCGATTTATCATGGAAAAATCAGAGACTAAATTTCACTGGAAAGTAGCCAAGACATAGAGATATAACTGAAGTCTGTTTGAATGTGATTTCCGCTGCAGGAGTGAGAGCAGCAAGCAGTTAGTTGTGACCAGTTTCTTAGGATGCTCCTTTTGAAGCTGATTGCTGGCCAAAGCATAACTGGGTAGCTAGCCTGGTTCAGAGTGCTTGTGCCAATAATTTGCAGGCCCACCTCCTTCCATTTGCAGATTGAGTGGCATGATGCATGTTCTTATGACTACCTGGAGATCCGAGATGGCCTCACTGAAAACAGCCCACTGATTGGTCAGTTCTGTGGCTACGAGAAGCCAGAAGATATTAAATCCAGTTCAAATAAAATATGGATGAAGTTTGCATCTGATGCAACCATCAGTAAAGCAGGCTTTGCAGCAAATTTCTTCAAAGGTATGTGATCTGGTACCTCTCAAGGGCAAACTTAGGAATTGCTTATCCAATCACTTACTGACAAAGTGAAGTTACCATTGTATCTACTTCTAGTTAAAAGCTGTTAGACTTGTCTGCCAATATTGAGTCTATACATGTTTTACTTTAAAACTGTAGAAGAGTTTGTTGCTGAGTCATGAACAGCACCTTACTGGTTAAGACAGAATCTACATCAAAAAATGTTAGATTTTACGTGCCATTACTAGTGCAGACACTAACACCTTTTGTTTCACAGCAAGATGGATTGTGAACCCTATTTATCTACACCATGGATACTGATATTTTCAAAGAAGGTATACTACTGTACAAAGAGTGTTATAAAATACAAAAACAAAAAAACAAAAAAACAAACAAAACAAAACAAAAAAAAACAAAAAAACCCAACAACCCAAAACCAAAAACCTCTCTGTTTAAGTTCTATCCCCCAAAAGAAAACTTTTGGAGAGGAAGTGATTTGCAATCTAAGTAGAATTTCTGGAAAAATTCCAGAATGCTTTTGGAGACAAATGTGTTCAAATACTGACATCTTCTTCAGGAAGATATGAAGGCTTTTTTTTTTTTTTTAAGAGCTAGACCCAAGCCATTGTTCTTCACCAGTAGAGGCAGGAACCAAACATCTAACCTCTTGGGAAAATACATTACAGAGTTGCTTTGAGGTAGTCAAAGTTTCTTTTACTTCTGTACTGTCATTGAAGCCCAATAGATACAGCTTCAATATTTGGATTAGTCCTTTATTTCTACTTGTGCCCTGCATCAAAATTGATTACCAGATTGCTGGCAAATACTGTGATTTTTTTCATTCCATTTCCTGGACAATTCTCACAGTACCTAGATTGCCTGTTATAAAATTCACAGGTTTCATATGGATACAAAGAGTACTTCTTCCTCACATTGGCTTCTTCCAGGAGTTCTGGCTGATTGTGCAGGGAATGCCTTCCAGTGACTAGCACTACCATAAGAATGATAGTAAAATGTTCTATTAAGGGCAGTATGTGGAATCAGGGGTCAGAGTGAGAAGAGTAAATCTGGCCATGTGTATATTAAATTGTCAGCTCAGGTTGTTGAGATTGAGAACCTGACTACAAAGAAATAGAAACTAATAGAAACTAATGTGTTCCTGAAAATGAACAACTATTTCATGCACTCCCAACTCTGCTGCTGCACCCTGTTCAGTACGGTATGGCCTCCCACAGCTCCATGCACCATAATGGGCTGGTTTCTGGTAGCTCACGTCACTCGAGCATCAGGAATCAAAACAAAGCAGACAAACCCAAAACCAATTGGTGAATGAGAATGTAATAAAGCAAAGTCTTTACAAGGGACCTTTTTTTTTTTTTTTTTTTTTTCTTCTGTCTAGAAAAAGCACTCTTGGCTCCTGTGACTAGTAATTGCAATAGTAATCCTTTGAGTTTTTGATAGTAAGGAGTTCTCTTGTATTTTGAGGTCTGCTGCTGCACCTGCTCTGCATGCTCTGCTTGTCAACCAGAGCTCTAGTCCTCTTAGAGAACGCATTGCCTGAGGAATGTGAGGGGATTTGACTGGTTGGGAAAGTGTGACTTGTTCTCATTTCCTCCTGACAGAAATGGATGAATGTTCTCAGCCAGACAATGGTGGATGTGAGCAACACTGTGAGAACACACTGGGCAGCTACAAATGCACCTGTGAGCCTGGCTATGAGTTGACAGCTGATAAAAAGAGCTGTGAAGGTGGGTAGTGTACAGATTGAGGCATCTACCTATCAGGTTGATACTGCAACCAACAGTGGGATTGAACAGGCTTGGAGACAATACTCCTTTCCTCTCCACGTTCATTTCTTTTTATCTGTTCTCCCATCACCTCCCTGTAAATTGTCAACATGTTCAATTGAAAATCAAGTTTGGAGTGAAAGACAGAAAGCATCCTTATTCTCTGCTGCTAAACACCTTTAAAAGCTGTTGCGGCCACGGATCCCTATTCAGACCAGATTTTGCAGTGGTGGCAGGAGGATTGTTGGAACCTGATAGTGGCCCAGAAGAATTACAATCCAAGGCTTATTTTTTAATAAGATATTTCTGTTGTAGACTGATATCAATGTTTTGCACGCAAAACAGGCATTGTCCACGCTGAGGAGTCAATTATAATTTTGAAAAAAGCAATTCTTCAACAGAAACTGTTTCTGTCAGTGTGGGCAAATAACCTGCCCCATCTCAGACAGCTGTGCTGACTCTGGAGTGGAATGCAATGCTGTGTTGTCCCTCAGATGAAGTTCTGTCTCAGCTAAAACTAGTGAAGTGCTAAATGTAATAAGCAAATGGGTTGGGAAGTTTGGGTGAAAATCCAAATGCTTTGTGCACTTCTTGTTTGTCTGTTTTACTAGGTTCAACAAAACACTTGGTTTTGTATAACTCTGCTGTAACAAGTCTGTAAAACACTTAAGTTAATATACACACTTGTTGCACTTTTTTGCTTTGAAGCTGTCCCTTGTTGATTTTGATGTTCTGGCAGGATCTTATTATTCCAAAGATATAGCAAGAAAAAAATGTTTTGTTGCAAGTAGAATCTTGCACCAGAAGAGCAAACCAAGGTTGACTCCTCTAAGGGAAAAGCTGTGTCCTCTCTCAAAAGAGTGGAGCTGAGATGTCCTGAATTTTTAAAGGAAACGAGGAAGTAAAGCTAAGTCTCTGGCTTTGCTTCGCATTTTCCCCAGTGAAAGTGCAGTCTACATGTAAAATTTGAAATTATAAGGTTAATAAACTGGGTGTGGGTGAATTTACCAAGCTGACGTTTACAACTGTATTGTGCATATTAAGTCAACAGGACCATAGTAACTCTAAGGCTTTAAAGTAGAACTGAGATCAATCTTTGGCAGTTCAAGCAGCTTCTGGGGTTTGTAGCCTGGCTGCATTTCACTGGTGATTTATAGCAGGTGAAGTTACTGTCTTCTCTGCAATTCCCAGCGTTTTAAACCAGCCCTAGAGGCTGGGATTTGAAGTGTGCCATCAGCCAGGGTCTGATTCATTTCCCAGATAACAGGGTGACCAATTTCTGTATCTGAAGAGAATCCAGTAAAACTTGTGTTCATTCATTGCCTCTCCAGCTGCCTGTGGGGGCTTCATCACCAAGCTGAATGGGACCATTACTAGCCCTGGATGGCCAAAGGAATATCCTACTAACAAAAACTGCGTCTGGCAGGTGGTAGCTCCAGCCCAGTACCGGATCTCTCTGCAGTTTGAAGTGTTTGATCTAGAAGGCAATGATGTACGTAACCAGTCCTGCATCTGTGTGATTATTGGCTATTTTGGAATTTTGTACCAAAATCCTTTGGGTACAAGGATGAGGAGAGTGGTCTCGCTGGTCGAGCTTCTGGTTGTTTCCTCACCCTTGATATAATAAGCTAATGGCAATGACTGTTCGTCTTCTCTATGGAGTAAAGGATTCAAGCTGTTCTGTTACAAATGGGTGTATTTTCTCTACTAGCTTTGCAAAACTGTAGGTGTTCTCCGTTCCTAATAGGTGTCCCATCCTATGCTTCCCCAGGGCTGCCTTCGTAGGGAGATAATTGGAAATAAACATAGAAGTAGAGTTTCTCAAGGGTTAAGAAAATAGAGAGGATAAGAGTCTGTTCTCTGCCCTGCCAAACACAGGATGGATTTTAAACAAAACATTTTCACTGTACTTCACTGTAAATGGCTCTTCCTTAATTCAGCTGGCTGCTGAAGTTCCTTCAGTGCTGTCACGCACTTGGATAAGGTGGGAGTCATTATTTTGGATAAATTAAATGGAAATGTTGCTATTCTGATAAAAGCACAGGTGCTGTAAGTCTAGAATAGCAAGGGAAGGGGATGAGTACATTCACAAGAGAGAATCTGAAGAAATTGGGAGTATATTGGTCTTTCCTTTCCCTATCAGTCAAGTCTCTGTCCCCTCTCTGGAATGCTCTGCTGTAAACCCACTGCCTCTTCTCTTGGCAGGTCTGTAAATATGACTTTGTTGAGGTTCGTAGTGGGTTGGCTACTGATTCCAAGCTGCATGGCAAATTCTGTGGCTCAGAGAAACCCGAAGTAATCACATCATATGGCAACAACATAAGACTGGAGTTCAAATCAGACAACACAGTATCTAAGAAAGGATTCAAAGTCCATTTCTTCTCTGGTACGTAGATGGTCTCCTCTGATTTAACATCTCATTTTTGGTGAATTGTCTTTAACCTCCTCTAAATTAGGCAGAGTTTGACATAGGTGCATCTAAAAAGAATGGTTGCTCTGTGTTGTCATCTTTCATCTTGTTTTCTCAGTGCGGTGTATAGTCCAGTTTCACAATGTGATATCAGCAAAGTGCGTAGATTTCATCAGTGCCTCCAGTCCCTGCACAGTGGAAAGCGATGGGGAACTTGGTTCTGGAACTTCTTTCTGTCCTTGGAGTCAAGAATAGCTTTTTCCTCTGGAACTAGGAGAGTTAGAACATTTTTAGAAATCTTCAATATAGTGATCCTTCCTATCAGCACTGTACATACTAGTGGAAGTTCTAAATTCTTTGTATCTCCTGGTTTCTGAACCTTGTTGGCTTTGGAGGATAACTGTGCATTGTATGAAAGTGGACATTTAGATCCGTGCTCTGTTTTCAATGGAGGCTGAAGAGTATTAATATTTTCAAAGAGCATGATCAAGCAAAATGACCTTGAGTTAGACCGTTGCAGAGTGGAATCAGGGCTGAGGTGTGGCTTATTAAATTCAACGAGGAAGGAAAGGTAAAGTGGCATACGTTTTGTCTAGAAATGTGTTAGGGAGTGAGGAAACAGGTGAGCATAATGAGGTCTAGGGTGTCAGAAAAAAAAATTGGAAATAAGCTGCTTAAAAATTAAATTGGACTGGAAACTGGGAGCAGAACTCAGAACATTGAGATTTAGGAATGTCTGTGAAGAGCAGTAGAGGCAGGTAAAATTCCATGGTTTGTTTTTTTGTTTTTTTTTTCTTCAGTTGGAACAGTTTGTCAAGTGAACCCTATTAGTGAGAGGGCACTAAAAACAAAGGCCTTCCGCTTTTCCTTCTGGATCCTTTCATTGCTTGTACTGTGACCCTGAGTTTTTCTGAGGTGAATCTCTTGGATTTTCTTATGAGAAAGGTGGGACAGAAGTGTCCTTTATTTTCCCTTTTCTCTGAACCCTGCATGGGTCACTTGTCCAGTAAGGGTGAAAGAGGCAGGCTGTCTGTGGCCTTAGCATGGTACTGAATACACAAGAGTGAATATTTAGGGCATACTTCAGCTTCAGAGTACTGCTCCTACCTCAGATGCCTTTCTTGGTCAGAGCAGTTTACAGACAGAGGCTTATCAGAACATATATGAATTTGAAAATATAAGATTGTCAAGTAGATTTTTGCTTAGACTAGAGAATTCGTGTGATTCTTTTCCTGGACTGTATTTTAAAATAATAAGGCATTGCTATAGATTTCTTTTAGACAAGGAGTCTACAGTTGTTCAAAACTTGCATTATATCATAAAGCACTTTTGTGGTGCATCTTGTGGAATGAAAGACAATTGCAGAAAATGTATCTGGACTAAAAAGGGATTGGATTAATCCAGCAACGGAAGCTGGAGGTGTGTAGTGCTATCTGCCAGTTTGGATATAGCACTCACTGCTTGTGACTGCAGTAGTTTGTTTCTCACTGGCAACTCGGTATTTGTTGCTCTTGCCCAGACAAGGATGAATGTTCCAAAGACAATGGTGGCTGCCAGCATGAATGTATCAACACCTTTGGGAGCTACGTATGCCAGTGCAGAAATGGCTTCAAGCTGCATGAAAATAACCATGACTGTAAAGAAGGTAAGTCCTCTGTTTCCTGTGTTCAGGGAAGATGAGCTCCCACAGACACCATCTGAGCCAGAGTGCCCTATATTGGAGTTTGTACTTATCAGTCTGTGACACTGAAAATGTCCCAGATAGCTGAAGAACTATTTAGGAAATGCAAATGAGGGCTCAAGAACTTGGTTTTGGCTGGACCTATTTCTGAGTCTGGCCTTTTATATGTCCATGGGGATGAACAGGTTGGAGGCAAAAAATGAAAGAAGTAGTTATGGGATGTCACCACAGGCTACTCACTTCATTTAAGGCTTGGATTGGGTCAGAAGAGAGAGGCTGAGCTGGTACAACACTTTGCTGATGCCAAAAATACATTTTTGCTGCATGCCCACACCTTAGTGGACGCTGCTGAGGCCTTCCACTGAACAGCCTCTGTTACTTGCCTGATTATTCTGTGATTCAGTTTTTCAAGTCAGCAAAACAAAACTGCTTAAGGCTGAGATAGCACTGAAGTCAACATGGTGGTGGGGTTGGAATCCATGCCACTGAGAGCAGGACGGATGAGCTGGAGGAGCAGGAAAGTACATTTGAGAGTGAGGAGACTGATGAGGTTAATGAGGTCCAGGAAAATAAGATAGTCTTTCACCAGCTGATCAGTTAATTCAGCCAGCTAGTCTGGCTGCATCTAGGAATGCCAAAAGTATAGGCCTTTTTAGGGACAAACTCACCAGAACTAGGTAGTAATTCTAAAAGACCTTATTTGTGACTGAAGCCTTCCATGTTTTTGCCATAGCTAGGGTCTCAATGGGGAGGGACAAGTTTGTGGCTGCTTCAGTAATGCAAATTAGTGTATGAGACTCTCCTTAATGCCTCTGTCTTATGGTCTCTCTCAAGCTGGTTGTGAGCATAAACTGAGCAGTGCAGAGGGAATGATGAGCAGTCCGAACTGGCCTGACAAGTACCCCAGCCGGAAAGAGTGCACCTGGAATATCTCTGCAACACCTGGCCACCGAGTGAAAGTAGTGAGTAACCAGTGAGTGGGAGTGCCAGGGGAGAAGCATTCTCAGATTTATAAGCATCCTTCTTAATTTTCCTTATTTTTATTCTTACTGTAGACTTTTAATGAGTTTGAGATTGAACAGCACCAAGAATGTGCCTATGATCACTTGGAAATGTATGATGGGCCCAATAGCAAGTCACCTATACTTGGCCGCTTCTGTGGCAGCAAGAAACCAGACCCTGTGGTAGCTTCTACCAACAAGATGTTCCTTAGGTTTTACTCTGATGCTTCCGTGCAAAGAAAAGGTTTTCAGGCAAAACATAGCACAGGTAAGCTGATTCCCTGTAAATATACCAGTATGATGAGATGCCATCAAATCTCACTGCATTGTTTACCAGTCAAGATTTTAGATATGCTTTTCTGCAGATGACTTTACCCTGAGATTTTTCTGTTTGGGAGTTGTGCTAACCATCTCCCATTGTTGACACCATACCATACATGCTAGCTGAGAAGCCTACTGATGTTAGATGTTCCTACTCACCTGTTCCTACTCACCTTCTGTTGTTTAAATAGGAGGCGCTTGGTTGAGTGACAACCTCTTCTGTTCCTCATCAGTTCTCAGAAAAAGAGTGGATACAACTTAGTCTAGCAAGGGATGCTTTTCAGATACAATGGCCCACACATAATGAGCTCATACTAGACTGGTTATGGTGGAAGCAAAGACGTGTTGTGAGCATACACAGCAGGATTGGTCTTACATTTGTAACAACCCAGTGGTGGGTGTGTTGTACCAAGGTTCTTTTCTGAAATCTTTGCTAATGTAAATGAAGCAGACCTTGAGCAGCACTACTTATTCCTCATTAGCTGCAGAAAAACCACCCAAGTACATGCACTGAGCTATCTTGGGTGCAACGTGTGGGCAGATTATTTTGGAGCCCAGGTTTTTAATATGCTTCAGCTTATTGTTGGCAAGGTATTTGGGGTCAGAATTTCAGCTACAGGACAAGTTCAAAGAATATGTTAACAAAAGAGATTACATTACTGTTCTATAAAATAATATCTTTTCTTCTGGCCAATATTAACTGGTCACTTCTTTCTCTCCATGTTTTGCACCAAAAGAACGAGGCTTTTCTACACTATGTGGGTCACTGGATTCATGGATGACTGAAGAATTCACTCTTATGCTAGTTAGATGCAGTGGTTAGTAACCTTCCCTGCTGTTACATGTACTTCAAACTGAAGGTCGTCTTTTCCCACAGACAGCCCAAAAGTGGGATGGCAAATCTTTTGTGAGGTAGGGCCTTTGAGGAGACTGTGTTTTGTGCCCTTTTCTTCCTTCAGTGTGTGGTGGGCTCTTAAAAGCTGAAGTACAAACTAAGGAGCTGTATTCCCATGCTCAGTTTGGGGACAACAACTACCCAGGTCAAGCCAACTGTGACTGGGTGATTGTAGCAGAAGATGGTTATGGGGTGGAGCTGATATTCCAGACATTTGAGATCGAGGAGGAGGCTGACTGTGGATATGACTACATGGAGATCTACGACGGTTATGACAGCACCGCACCCCGCCTCGGACGCTTCTGTGGCTCTGGGGTAAGCCGTGGTGATGAGGATTTCACATGGTTATCTGGAGGTGGGGAAAAGGATACTCTTGTTTCCTGTTTTTGGAGAGGGATATCTGTCACAAATTGGTATGAGAATGCCTTGTGCATCTGAGTCTTGCTGCTTCCCCTGCTGCTAGAGATCGGTCATTTTATGTAATATGCAAAGTTGGTCTAAAAAACAACTGACTTTCCTAGCTGACTTTCTGTTCTTAGCCCAGGGCTTTTATGCATCAACATGGGACTGCAGCACTAGCCCAGCTGAAAAATCATTGTGTGAATATGAGAAACTGCTTCCAAAATCTGGTTTAATCCTTAGTTACTTCCTTCTTGAAGCCAAGTTACATTTCCAGTCATGGTCAGGAGAGGATGAAGGATGAAGCTGTTAGTTGTCTCCAGGATGGTGTGTTGTCTCCTAAATTGTTATCTAAGTCCTGATTAACAGATGTGACTTTGTTGGTATGAGCAGTACTGTGTGATATGTAAAGCCAGATGTTCTGTTTGAATTTCCTGGGACTCGAGCAATGAAATGGAGAAAGTGCTTACTGGATTTAAAGAGAAACAGCCAGGTAGCATGTGTCAGGACAGTCTATCCAAACTGGGGAAACGGTCTGGAAAACAGACAAGGTATAGCAGCTTGGTGCGAAGAAGTTCGGAACAGTGGGATAGTAATCACATATCTGTATGCTGACAAATGGAGAATGGTAGGGAAAGTTTCAGGAGAAACACAGAGGTGGTAGCAAGTCACAGCGGTGAGGGAAGCAACCAGAGCTTTGCTTGCACGATGCATGGGAGGGACTCAACTGCTGAACAAGGTCCAATTTGAACTGTCATTTCCTGAAAAGATTAGCACAAATCAGAATGTACTCAGAGGACTGGAACAAGAATATCCAGGGAGTCCTGTGACCAATCAAAAACAACTGGAAGAACTGGAATTGTATAGTGGACTGGCGTCAGTCTTCAAATATAAAAGGCAAGCATGCAAAGAGCAAGAGGAATATGCTCAGAAAGTCAGAGCAGGCGGTACTGAGCACTGAGTATTCATGTTTCCTAGCCTATTCACTATGAGCTTAAACTCTGGCACCACGGCGTGGATGATTACTTAGCATGCGGACTTGACCACTTTCTGCTGTGTTCTTTCCTTTTCTGCAGCCTCTGGAAGAAATCTACTCTGCAGGAGATTCCATCATGATTCGATTCCACACAGACGACACCATTAACAAGAAAGGGTTTCACGCCCGATACATAAGTACCAAATTTCAGGATGCGTTGCATATGAGAAAGTAATCTGACTGCTCCTCACAGACATTCCTTACCTGAAGATCAAGATGTTTAGCTGTGATTTTTGACTTTTTCAGCCTCTGCATCTGGCCAAAAGCAGTGTACAGTATTTTCTGTAACTAAAACTAAATCCAGTCACAAGGGTTTGCCTCTGAAATGATTAGTGTGACTCTCTCTTGTTAACATACCTAGGACCAAAAATTGTCTTCTAATCATACCTGTCAGGACATAATTGTTGTGTTTTGCATAGCTTCCTGTAGGGCTGAATGAAGACTGAGCTTAAACTGAGGAAGGTCTTAATCTGTTGAATACCCTGTCTCTAGATTATGTTTCCTAAGCATCCTGTACGAGCTGTCTGAATGCTTTTTCTGAAGCAGATGATGTGGGCAGCCACCCAGTAGGGTTTTCTCAGAGGACATTGTGGACTGTCTACTTTCCTCTGCTAGCCCAAGTTACTCAGTGCAATATGAGAACAACTACGCAGCTGGGACTCCAGATTCCATGACCCCTTCTGTCCCACCTATTTAGTGTCCTGTTTTTTGTGATTTGAGAAGTAGTTGGGGGCATGGGGATGATCTTCTTAGTTAGCTGCTATCTACTTGGACCACAGTGAACAAGTTAGTGGTCAGTGCCTGATCTGCAGTAATTGTCACACTACACATTGAATGGAAGTACTTTGATGCAGTGGTCAAGGGATGTGTTTTGATAGGAGGCAGAGCATGAATGTGTAATGGTGGCAGAACTTAGCAGATGGAACACTTACAGTCTGCTCCAGTTACACTGCCAGGCAAGACAGCTCAGAGGGCTATAGCAGCAGTCCAGGCTTCATCTTTAATAAGAAGTCTCTTCTAACTCTACCCATGTTTGCTTTCTCAGTCATTTTATGCTTCTTCCTTTCCATGTTTCCATTGGTCCTCAGTACCACATCTGTGAGCCTTTCATTTTCATAACTCTCTATGATGCTCTCCCCAGAACTCCCCACAGCTACCAAGGGGTGCTCTTACAGCATCAGCAAGCTGGAGCATCTCACAGAAGGGCGCACTGAGTCAGAGATGGTCAGGATACCTTAGCATATTGTCGTGGTTGTTCCTGAGACAAAGAGAACAGAAGCTGTGCTACAAGTCAGCTCTGGTGAGCTCTGGGAACCTGTTAAACAGATGCATGCCCCAGGCATAGGACAAGGAATGGGAGAGTTCTGCTGGTTTGCAGTACTTCATTCTTTGCCAGCCCATGATACAGTCTATTAGCTTCATAGCAGTTCTGTAACCCTGCAGTGCATACGAGATGATGACTTAAGCACTTTGAGCTATAAGGCTGAGACCTGCTCTGCGTTGCAGTTTTTTATGCACATGGAAGCTATTGAACCATTGCAGAATTAACAAATAGCTTGGCACTTATTTGAGAGAAAGTAGGGAGAACTGCGCCTTGTGGGGAAAGTACTGTAATTGAGCTACTGATAAGGGAGGGGAATACAAGAAAAAAAATCATTCAGAACTAGATCTATTTCATTATGGCACTCATGGGCAGTAATGAGCTAAAAGGTGAGATACGTTAGCTTTAATAAAGTATTTATAATCCAAGGATTACTATGTTTACATAACAAGTGTACTGTCAGGCTCTGGGGTGACACCTGCTCGTTGAGTGCATGACTGGAGAAATGTGGGGTCAGCAACACTGTCAGGCACAAATGACTTTTCTGGAGATGAGGACATTTCCAGATGGATAATAAATAGACCCAGCCTTCTCCAGGAGTTCTTGAACAGAATATGGTCCAAGTATTGTGAATACTAGGAGAAGCAAATGCATGAAAATATTTTCTTGCTTAGAACAAGAAAAATAAAATAATTTATAAAGACTATTATATGTATATAAAATGTGCATGTAGAAGACCAGTAGTCAAAGCCTTAATAAGTGTCATGTGAACAATACTGTGCCATGGACTATAGCTTTACTGCAGGCTGTATAAAACCATGTTATTTCTGTTTGTTTTTCTAGCTTTGTTTTTTCTTCTCTTTCCAATTTTCGAGGCCTTTCTACAGGCAAGGCCTTTAATTTCAAGCTGTTTGGCCATACAGGTCTGAGGAAGTGAGGTCTGTTAGCTGTGGTCTGCTTTTTTTTCCTTCTCTTCCTTGATCCCATTCAAGCAAAATTGCAGTGGCTCAGGTCTGGAAATAAGAGCTTGATGCTGGTCCCTGTGAAGCAGAAGGAAAGTAATAGGTGGCAAGCAGCAGTTCAGGTTTCCTGGCTCTCTAATGGGAGAGAAGTTACTATAGAAGTTTCCTGTGTACTTCAACATCTGTGCTCTATGTTCTGATAATTTCTTGTGTTCCTCAGACTTTGTATTTGGTGTTCTGGTTTGTTGCAGATGCTTGCAATGTGGTTTGATGGATCTACTACATTTGTTAGCATTCAAGCAGGTGTCTTTTGTGACAGTGTACTCACAACTGTTGTACTGTACATTTCAACTGATGATCTGTGTAGAATATTTCTGCTGTACTGACTGGGTAGTAACAGTCAATAATTCTAAATGTCTATAAGTTTCTTAAGTGAAAAAGAAAAAAATGTGAGACCCTCTAAGGTGTGTACATGTATTCCAGTCTTTGTGTGGTTTTCCATTTCACTAACAAAATTAATATTATAGGTGGGGAGGAGAGGAGGGTGTGGGGGCAATCAAAATGTACCTATGTGCTGAATGAGTCTCTGCTTTTATTAAAGACTGGATTCAGTTGCACATTCTATTGTATACATGCATGCATTCACCACTTCCTTAAGGGGAAGAAATTTCTGAACACATCTTTACTGCAGTCTTGTGATCTATACTCCCACTGTAGCAGCAAAATGTTCAGTACACAGGCAGCATCAAAAATGTTTTTCTTCCTCTTTCTGTTCTCTGCCTGATGCATATTCTGCTTGCTAAGGATCATTTCTGTGTTTTCCCCATCCACCCACTATTCATTCATGTCCCTGAACATTTTCTGTGGTGTATGTTGCAGCCACTCAAACTTCATGGTGTTTGAATTTCCTCTATGCTGCTCCTAAAGGCAGAGCAACAACAGAGATAAAGAATAAGTGTCTTCATACAGCCTCCTGCACCAGGATATGACTGCACAGTTTGACTCTGGAATGTGCCAAGGTGCTGTCAGTCAGGTCACTGATGGACATGATTTCCAAAATAAGGGCCAGTGAGCATCCAGTCATGCTGAGAATTATGGTCCAAAGTGATGCAGCCCAAGTAGAAACCAGTGGGAAATAGAAGGTGATATAGAAGATGGAATATAAACTAGTTGGAGAGCTGTTTGAGAAACACTGATGTGTGCAGCTACAGCAAGATATGCTATCACTGTTTTCATGTTCTATCTGGATGCTGAAAGCCTGTTTCATGATCTTTCACAGGCTTATATATTTCTTTCTCTTCAAGTAGTATTTTCCCTTAATTTCTCTTTCAACTTTGATTGCCAGTCTCCAGTGCTTTGTGATGTGGCCAGTTTCTTATTTCTAGAATCAGGATTTAATTTTCTAGAAAGTGCCCAAAGGCCATCCAGTCACCATCTGTGAGATGCTGAAGGGGATACCTATTGTCTGCTAGGAGATCTGTCATCCTTTATAAACATGAGTAGTCAGTGGTACACCAGCCAAGACAAAGAAAGATGCTTAGGAGCACACAGGCCCATTGATCTCAGCATCAGGCATGAAACAAGCCAGCAGGAATCCTCCACTTTGTTCTGGATTTCCCATAATTTTCTCTAGCAGACAAGGCATTAGCCTTACAAAACAAAAGCAGAATTCCCCTCAAGCTGGTACACCCTCACAGCCATAAACAGTTTTGTTGTTGTTTGGTGTTTTTTTTTTTAACACCATGAGGCAGATTAAAAAAAAAAGAGCTGCAGTCCTCAGTGCTCTGAAGCCACGTGCCAGCCACTCTGCCTCTGACAGAGGAGCTGCTTTATCAGGTGTACTGGGATTCAGTCAGACTCTCTGACTCATGCTGACGGAAATGCCCTTGTCTTCTTCCTCTTTACAGGTCTCCAGTTTCTTGTGTTTTGGTTTTGTTACTTTTTCAGCAGGAAGATAATCTTATTCTAAACAGAACGCTGAGCCTGCAGTCGGACTGTCAGAACAGTCAGAACAGTCAGCTGTTAATGAGTGGAGGAATTTCTGGTGGAGGAGAGCAAAATGGTGAGTGGAGCCGTCCTGTCTCAGTAGAGTCATATTTCGGTGGAACCTGGGGGAGAGGTCAGAGAGGCGAGGCTGTGGGATTATTTGGGTGTTTGATGTAATGCTCTTTGGAAGTGTTTAGCCATCCAGTTCCTTGCTCCAACCAACTCAGCTGGCACTCTTGTCATCTTTGCTTTTCCTTGTTGTGCAACAAATAGTTTCAGGTACCTGCTCAGATTTTAGTGTCTACCACAGCTTTTCTGTCCAGGAGATATCACCTGGTTTTGGGGCAGTTGCAGCAAAGTGGAATCAATGAGTGGTCCTTTCTTGAGGAAATTTCCTGTCCTGTGGAGTGGGTTCCTGTGGGATCTGCTGAAATGATCACACTGGAGCTGATGCTTGTATAAACACAGGAGAGGACATGGTCCCTGGCTGCAAGCATTCACAGTTTGAGCTAGTATGGGAACAAATGGGAGGGAGTACTTTCCATATGTTGGAGAATTGATGCTGAAGGGGTGGAAGCGTCTGTTAAATCTGTAATATAAATCTAGAGCATTTGATTTCTGGACTTGTGTTTTAACTGCATTCCTCCATCTCCTTGCTGCTCCCTTTGGTGAGAAGTTCTCTGTATAGAGCCACAGGCCCGCCAGTGCTGATGTGGGATGGGGAAGAGGCTTGTCTCTTCAGCTTCCAGTCTTGCAGGCTGCTGCGTGTTACTGAGTGGGGAAAAGGGAGCTGGAAAAGTTGCAGCATGGGTTTTTTTGTTTGTTTGTTTTTGTTTGTTTGTTTTTACTTCAACTGCAGTATACGGCTTTCTCTTACCCAAGATGTGTTCTTGGTAGACAGTAGCTACTGTAGTTAATGCTGCTGGGAAATGTACTTGACTCCTCTCACTGATGCTCAGAGCCTGGTAAATATCACACTGAGTAATCTGGACAATCTGTGAACAAAAGCAGGGACACTGCAGGGATGTGTCTGCAAATAAAGATAACACAATGCCAAATTGTGTTCGCTTTAGATATCAAAATTTCAGGGAGGGCTGGAAGAGAGCTTCGTTCAGGAGGTCTGGAAGTGTCCTTTCCATTCTGAAGTAAATATATTGGAAGTCAATAGTAATTTACATGTAAATGACATCCTTGTCTCTCCTGACGTGGCTACTGTACCAATTTGCATATTTATCCATTTTTGCAAGTGACTTGAAACAGTGGCTTTAAACTATTGTACACATTAAGAGAAATAGCTTTGTTCTCAGTATCTTGCTACAGTTTCCTGTATTTGCTTGGTTAGAGAATTCAGCTTCCAAATATGATAGTCTTAGTAAGATATCCTGAATCTTGTATTCTGTACATAAAAGAAGCTTAGTGAAGAACACAAATGCATAAGTTACCAGTTAAAAATGTAAATGTAGAACCAGGTTATTACTTTAAGTAAGAGCTGTGTGTTTTCTGTCCTCTAGTGGTAGAAGCTAAGTATGTATCCCTGGTCTAAAGCCATGACTAAATAAACTAGGAAAAACATTTCTACTTAAAACAATGGCTACCAATCAGATTATTACAGACATACCTGTTTCTGGCTGGGAATATAAATTTGTCAACACTCAACTGCACATAGAGTTTCACAAATTCCTTGAACACAGAAAGGTGAATGTATATAAAGTGCATTATTTATGTGGCCCCTTCTGCTCAGACGTTAATCTAACCTGCATGCACAGTCCTGAAATAAAGTCCATTAAGTGTATATCATTAACCAAGAAGGAAATAAATTTACAGCTTCAGAGAAGAGATAGGTGTGAATATCCAAGCTCAAACATTAACAGGTCAGCTGTGCAGAAAAGCACGTTTCAGTGAGGAAGTTTGAAGAATGCACAATAGAAAAGTTGAGTAAGAATGCCTCTGTAGAATTTCATTCCCAGCTGGCAACATGGGTTTAGCCATACCTGGGTCTTTGAGGAGCCTGAAAGAGATCCTTCTCACTTGGTGACTGATTGTTAACTGTGTGCGCTCAGAGTCATTTCCCAACACTTGCAGTCCCTAAGCTAGGTTGTTCAAAGGTTATGCTTCCAGTTCAATGTCCACAGCTTGCCTACAAAAGCCACAGTTCCAAACAAGCCTCTGACTGCAGTTAGGAATGGGAAGATGAATTCTGGATTGTTCAGTAAGCAGTATGATCCTTCATATCCAGCAAAGTGTCCTGCTCCCAGACCACAAGACTTAGACTGAGTTAAGACTGAAGGGTGAATCCTCTCATAACCTGCTTATGTTCTCAGCCTTCCTTCTCCATAACCTGCAGTATCCAGACTTCCTGCATACTTTCACTGCATTAACCGCCCTGACCTGAAATTCAGGGCATGGCAGAAGACCTTTCTGTGGTCAGAAAAAGCCAGCTTTGTGCTGGCTCACTATACTAGCTTTCTGAGGATGCACAGTGACACTTCCTTTCAGCCTTCTGTCACCTTCCACATCAGTTCAAATAGACCTCAGCAGCTTTGCTCTTTCACTCAATTCTTATTTAATTCCAGTGTTTTTATGGCTCTGGGGTTCAGCAGAGCTGCTGCATATGGACATGCTACTTGCTCCTGGATTAGAGGAGAGGCTCATGTGCTGCTTGTCCCCAAAACTGGGCTTCCCTTCCCAACACTGCCACTAGCACAAATCCCTCCAGTCATCTGCAGTTGCTGCAGTGCTTGCTGTGTAACAGACACGGTACCAGTCCTAGCAGCATGGCTATACCAGAAAGAGAAGTAGTTTTTAACTTTCCCTAAGCCTCCCAGAATGCTAATTTGCTTACCAGACAGGCAGGCAGCTTTCCTTCTGTGTGTGGAAACAATTTAGCCAGGAAAAGGTTAATTTCTTTCTATCTTTTCAGCTGTCCTTGAATCAACAAGAGCAGGAACATGTGATTAGTTTGCGGCTCAAAGGCTGCAGGTGGAAGTCCTTGCTATCTTACAAGCTACCCTGTACTTCAGCTTTGTCACCCAGCCATGGTGGTAATAAAAAAGTTTTGCCCTCTCAGTCGGGAGTTGGCAGAGTAAACCTATTGCAGGGTAAGGCTTTGTATGGTGTAAGCAATTCAAGCAAAACAGTTTATGTTTCCTTGTACTGCACTCTTAAATAGCCTTGTATGTTTTTTTTTCTTTTTCTTTTTTCTTTCCCTCTTGAATAACTGTCATGTTTCCTGTTCAAATCACATTGGTATATTCCCATGCCATCACCTCCAGACACTGCTGAAATATCCCTCTCCATTCCCACAGCTGCATAGGGCACCTACTAGTTGCAGAAAGTGTGATATTGTTTTTATTCTTCTTCTTTTCTAATTTCTCTGCAGGACGTGGCAACATCTTTCATGCCCATTTACAACACGACTGTAAATTCAGTAAGTACACTGTGTAGGATGAAGGCCAACTGCCTAATTGGCACCATGGTATATCTTGGAAGTAGGGAATATAATTCTGAAAAGGAGGAGATGCTCTTATGTGAGAGTGGATGATTGGGATCCTATCTGACATGCTGTTCTATTGCTGCTAACACGATATTTTATCTATCTTGCCACTGAATGAAAATACACATCAGTGCTAAATCTTTTCTAAAAAGCAAGTATCTTGTCTCTCTTCCCACAAAAACTTGTGGATGTGCAAAGATCTGGGCTTTACAAACTGACCTTCCTGCTTGTACTGTCTGTATTCTGAGCACAGAACCTACCTGGCTTTGCTTCTTCCCAGCATTTTATTGCATAAACTGTCAGCTGTAGGTAGTGGGTCAGCCTGGGGGAAGGGATAACAAGCAATACATCTGCCATCATCACTTTGTGATAGGCTTTCTATTTCCCGGCTTCAACTGCCTTGTCACTTGTAACAGGTGTGATGTTTTTGCAAAGGCTAGAAAAAGCCAGAGAGTTTTGATATGGGGTACACATAGGTTTCAGCGTCCTTCTCTGCATGCCTTGCTTCTGTAAGCCCAGACAGGGTGTGCAGTGCTCTCCAATGATGGATGCTCCAGGCAGGGGCATGCAGGCAGATGCTGCAGTGAAAATGAAGAGCAGATTTGCAAAATCACATCATTTCTGGGGGCTTTTTGCTCCCCTTTTTGCTTCTTTTCATTCTGAATCCAACCTTCTATGGTATGTATTAGTGCTTATCTCTTGCATGTACTTTTTTCCAGACTCAAGCCCCTTTTTGAGGAAGAATATACATTCTTTCTATTCAGCCAGAGCCATTGTTGGGAGGAACAGAGCCTGGGTTCTTGCTTAGGACTGGCAAGCACAGGCCAAGACCTCAGGGTCTGGCTGGGTTCTCCAAGTGTAATCTACCAAACGCTGCTGTTGAAGTCTTGCAACTGATTAGTCTCTATCTGTGCTTGCTCTATATGAAGTAATTTTTTGTAAATTTCTATAATTGTCTTATTTCTAGATTTCTTCAACTGCAACAGCAAGCACACCTGTTGAGACAGATTGTTCTTATGGGGTAAGAGTTTGTTTCATTATTTAATTTGACTGATTGTATATGGAGTATTTCCCTTCTAAAATCATAAAATCTTTTGAGTTGGAAGGGACTTTTAAGATCATCTAGTCCAACACTTCTACAATGAATAGCTCGATCAGGTTGGTCATAGTCCTGTCAAGTCTGATCTTGTCTGCCTGCAGGGATGGGACATTCACCACCTCTCTGGACAATCTGTTCCAGTGCTTCACTGCCTTTGTTGTAAAAAATAATAAATAAATAAATAAATAAATAAATAAACCCTTTTTCCTTATATCCAGTCTAAATCTCCCCTCCTTTAGTTTGAAACCATTTCCTATCACAGCACACCCTGCTAAAGAGTCTGTCTCCTTCTTTCATATAGCCCCTCTTTACATTCTGAAAGGCCACTACCAGGTCTACCCAGAGCCACCTCTTCTCTAGGCTGAACAGCCCTAGTTCTCTCAGCCTGTCCTTGTAGGGAGGTGTTCTATCCCTTGGATCATTTTTGCGGCCCTCCTTTGGTTATGGTCCAACAAGTTCATGTTTCTTCTCCACATCTGGATGCAAATCAAACTTCTGCATCTCGTTTCTATGCCAGTGTGTAGTATAGTTGGGCTTGATAGCACTATTGTGGCCCAGCACTGTAGTTTTGTTCATTATGTTGGCTATTCTTTTTGCATTCTAGGGCATGCACTTAGCTACTAAACACAGAATTAAAGGATCACGCTGCATGTGTTTGACCTGACTCTCTTTCTTTGTGAATTAGTATGAACTTTGGGTGGTCGGAGTAGCTGCAGGGATACCCAGCTTCCTGGCATTGGTCCTTGCAGTCATCTTGGCAGTGGTCTGTGTTTTCCAGAGGTCAAACTTCAGATGGAAACAGGTAAATACCTTCCTTCGCCAGAATGTCTTGCCACTTTCAAGCCTAATCCTCTATGTCAGAAGGCTGATTCATTCCTCTCTGTAGCTCTTGGAAAGTTCACGACTGCACTCCTAGGCACTCAAGGCTATCACTGTTTCACTTAGGAGTTAAAGGATCGTAAGGTTCAAAGAGAAATTTATGTGAAAATTCAGAAGAGGCACTTCCAGGTGGTCTGTTAACCAGCAGAAAACAAAATCTATGGCCACGGCTCTTCAATGGATTCTTCTCACCCAAGTAGGAATCCTCTAATTCCAAAGTGGTGTTATCTAGCTCCCAAAGCATTGGCAAGTTGTTTCGTAATAACTAGTTTTGTCAGCTTTTCTTCTGTTTCAGACTGTGGGTTGGGTTTCAATGCCCTATATCCACAGTGATGGGGTAGAGTCAGAGGTTTCTGTAGCACCATACTTCTTTCCCCTGAGGTGAAAAAGCATTCATATGCCCATGGAAAAGCCAGGAAGCACCGTGGCAGCCAAATACTGAAAGATCTGCCTGAAATGGTCTGTTCCTTCCCCTGCTATTTTATAGAAGTTTTTAACCAGCTCTAGTTCTTGCATGGCTCATTCTGTTCTCACTCCAGACAGAAACCTATAACGGTACTAAAGGATGTGGCATCCCGTAGTTGTTGTTCATTAACATCTTTGTGTTTTCTTCTGCTTTTCTGATTGTAAATGTGCAAGTGAGGGTTTTTCTCCTGTATTAAATGATCATCAGAATTTGGAATGTTGTAGTGAAAGTAACTCTTGGACATTAAGTGATCCCTTCTGAAAGATGATTCTCATGGGCTGGCATCAAAAGGTCTATATGGTTGTCTCAAATGAAAAAAATCATTTTGACAGGCATCTTAAAATGTTAGTTTATTATCCTCCATGGCTGTTTACACACTGAGCATGTTCTGAGTTCAGAAATTGTTTAATAATAAAACGTTTTCTCACAGCTTTGTGCTCCTTGTACAGTTATGGGTGAGTTGTAGACAGATGTTCTTTTTCACTTGATTTTGTTCATTGCTTTAGACGAGTGAATGTTGTGAAGTGCAAGAAGAACATGAATATGAAAAATCTCCTCCCAGACCTCCAAATGTAAGTCATCATTTGACTGACTCTTAGCATAGCACGTGTGCTACTGAGTTACTAAACGCAGGGGTGGCTTTAGCAGTAGTAATGGAGACCTCACGGTAAGCTCCTTTCCCTTGCTATCCCAGAGCTCCTATGTTGCAAGTATTTCTATCTATGTATCTGTCTGATGGAATCCCTGAAATGGGCCATGTGATGGGTTGCCCATGTTTTAGAGTACATGGGTTAAAGAGCTGCATCCAGCTTGGGCGAATTTGGGAGGGAGAGAGAGATATGAACCAGAAATGTGACCCGATGTGATATTTTCATCAAAATACTGCCAAACAGTTCCAAAGAGGGGCAGGAATTCTAGTGTTCTCCATTCTCTGCAGCCTGAATACTTAGTGACAGCCATCACAGAAATGATATTTTGCCTCTAGGATATATACCTGAATGTGCTCGAGGAGACAACAAATGTCTATGTAAATGAAGATCAAGGAAAACGCTTCGGAACAGGCATTCAAACACAAGCAAAGGCCCCACGGGTGAAGAAGCCCAGAAAAGAGCCACCTGTGACAGAATCCATTTATGAAAATCACCCTCCCTCCTGCTGAGAGAAAAGTACTAAGTGATGGCTGGGACCAGAAATAACAGACAGCATTTCCAGACACATTTCCATTTCCACAGCTGCGTTTCAAGAAGAAGAGAGCTTAGTATTTGTGTGTTCTTGAAATTCTGGAGGGTAGGACAGAGACATTGTGACGGGAAAGAACTTGATTGAGGTTCAGTCTCTGAGTGGCTCAGAGGTACTCTCCTCATTTGGGGAGTATGAAAACTCTCCGGGAGAGGTGGCTTTACTGTCCTCCTATGTTTAACTTACTCCGTTTTAATAAAGAACATGTAAGTCCTCGTAGTAATACAGCTGGAAGAGAAGGACAGTGGCAGTGTTTACAAGAGTACCTATCACTCAGGTGCTTTTGCTTCTCCGAGCTGCCTGGGAAGGCAGCGAGGCACCCTTGTTCTCATTTGACAGGAGGAGATGAGACTGTAAGTGAGAAAGAAATCTGGAGGCAGAAAGAAACTCCAGCTGCTGTCCATACCCCCAGGGATGGCACTTTCCCTCCGTTCTCTGTGAGGGAAAAGCTAGGCTATAGCATGCTTAGTGAATAAGAGAGGACCCCAACAGCAGACAGAGGTCCCACCGAAGGGGAAACAGCATTGAAACTCTGGCTACCTTCAGCCTCTGAACTGGGGGGAATGCTGTCCTCCAGGAGGGATGTTGCAGCTTTCTGTCAACCCCCTGTGGGCAGCATACTGGTGGGGATCCTTGCAGGCAGCAGCAGTGAGTCCAGTGGTGAAGCAGGCAGAGCATCACCCTGGGAAGGACAGTCCTGCCTGCATGGTGCTGCCCACATGCACTCTGATCTACTCTGCTGTGTGGAGCAGTGGCTGCAGGCACGGTCCTAACCCAAAGAAAGGAACGGCTCAAGTCCTCATAAACAGATGGTTCTTTATTGGGTCATTAGCATACACATACAGCATAGCAATGTGGTCCCTCTGCAAAGTCTGCTGCTGCTGCTGGGACACATAAGGCCAGGGAAGCAGGAGATGAATAGCCATGGAGTCACAGGTGTGAGCAAATCAGCTGTTCAGTGGGACTGCTGTGCTCTTGGAGCATATGCACAGAGTGTCACTGCACTAGGGTGCAACATCACCTTCTGCACTGCAGTGAGGAGGAGCAGATCTGTGTTTGATCTGCCTGGGACTTTGTCTGTGGGCTGTCCTCGTGGAGGCTTTGGGGTGGTGGGGCAACACTCCTGCCACTGGTTTGAGTCAGGGAGGTGTAAAGGAGCAGACTGGCTCAGGAGCACAGCAGTGAGGTTCTGTGCCCCTCAGCGGGGGATAGCACAGAGCTGGTAGTAGGGAGGAACATTTCCTGTCCCACTCAGTGTTGGGGTGATGCTGAGTTCCTCAGGGCTGACGACAGGCTTCAAGGTGAAGTTCTGCAGGATGGCGGTCAAGAATAAGAATATCTCCATGCGTGCCAGGCCCTCCCCAGGGCAAATTCGTTTCCCTGGAAGCAAACACAACCAGTAGCACTGAGCAGATGTTGTTGAGCGGCTCAGTGTTTGTACTAAGCCCATGTGTTATGTGTGCAGGTTCATTGACTAGATGCAGCCGCAGCAGTGAGGTGAGTGGAAGTTTGGCTGGGTGCGTGAAGGCAGACCAGGAGCAGGAGAAGTCTTGAACACAGGAGGAGGTGCGGAGAGGATGGGAGAGTGAGGTGATGCAAAGGGTGGTTGAGAGTGGAGGATTGGGGCTATTGGACAATGGGTGGCTGCCTGTGGCCCACTTGAGAGGAGCGTGGGAAAAGTGGAGCTGCCATGGAAAGACAGGTTGGTTCAGGCTGGCTTTGATGGTTGCGTATGAAGGTGATGGGTACTTTAGAAATCCGGGGGAGAACGGGTCCCCTGCGTGTCATTCCATCAGCATCTCCCAGTGGGGCTTTTGAAAAGCTGTCAGACCCTAACCAAGGCATCCAATGTAGCTAGGGAAGAGATCAGCTGAGAGGAATTATACAGAGAGCAGTGAGCCCTGAGGGAGCGCTGGCGGGACTGGGCTGGGAGCATGTGTGGTCATCTGAGCAGGAGGACCACAGCTCCTGAGGGAGGAAGGCTGTGCCTTACCTGCTGAGAAGGGAATGAAGAACTCGCTCTTCCTAAAGGTGCCATTCTGGTTCAAGAAATGCCCAGGATTAAACTCAGTTGGGTTTGGAAACTCCTTGCTGTCATACAGTGCAGTACTGAGGAGGGGAAAGACTGTGGTGCCCTGCAGTGACACAAGAAGAGCAGAACATGAAGGGGAGCGGCATTGGGTCACTTAATCCTGCTGCCTGCCAGGCTAAGGCTGGACATAGTGATACAATGGTGTCAGAAGACATGAAGAAATGTGAGTTCCATGGCCCAGGCTCTAGTGGATCGTGGTGAGCTTGGTGCCTCTGCAAGGTGACACAGCTATGTTTTGTTGTGAGCTGTTGGCCAGTCTACAGAGCAAGAGAGTAGAGGAGTTGGACAGAGCTAGTGTTCCAGTCTTGGCCCAGGGAGCAGCAACAAGGCATTGCATGGAAGCTACCAAAACCCTTGGGATGTGAGGATAGAACCTGTAGGAAGGCCTGAGTGAGGACAAGGTCTGGTCCCCGCGTTCTTGCTCCTGGTCTTGTATCTGACACCTGAGGGCAGTGGTGCGGCCACTCTGTTGCCAGACTGGAGGGAGCTTGCCTGCTAACCTTGGGAATGACGTAGTCTCTGAAGTGGACGTCTTTGGTGACAGCATGAGGGAGGCTCATAGGGATGAGGGTGATGAAGCGCTGGATTTCATGGACCACTGCATCTGTGTAGGGCATCTGGGTCCGGTCAGCCACGCAAGGTCTTCGTGATCGTCCTACTACCCGATCAATCTCTTCTTGAACTTTCTCTGTCATGAGAAGCACAGCCAATAAGATGAGTGCATAAGGCAAACCCCACCCAAGCAGGTTGTCCTAAGCAGTCCTCAAATCCCGTGGGTTCCATAGCAAATTAGTGATGATGGGAACATTTATGTTGCTTTAGGTGTTGTCTGGAATGCATCTTCTCTGCAGCCTATTCCAAGAATGCCTTGTAACAACTTAGTTAAATAGGAGTACTGAGAGATAAAGATGTGGGCACAGTCAAATCCCCGGACATTGATGGCGGTTGCTTTTGCTGCTGTTACCAGCAAAGCCAGGAGATCTCTAACAGCCACCCCTGGGTGTGACAATGCAAGGACTTTGGCCATGGATGTAGAATATGAGAGAATAATGTTGGGAGAGGGAAATACTCTGAGATATCTATCAGACTCTGGCGAATAGTAGAGGGAAAAAATACTGTAGTCCAGTACCTTGTATCTTTGGATATTTGAGAAGAAGCAGAAGCCCGTATCGTGTAGTGGTGCTTGTTGTCTCTGTTCCACCAATGAACAAGTCGAAGGTCGAGGTTATCAGGTTTGTCATGTGGAAGTGTGATTTGGGATTGTCTTTTTCCTAGAGAAAAGGCTGTGCTGTTTCTCAGGTTTTATTGAGCATTGTGGCCCTTCCAGAGCTGTTGCATTTTTCCGCTAAGGTGCAGCAGCCAGTTAGGACCTTGCAATGCTATTAAAAGGCTGCAAGCCGGACCCCATAGCAGGCATCTTTCCAACTGAATGCTGTGTGGTGCGCAGCTGTCTACTTGTCCATCGTATGCCACTTGCTTTCCAGTACAGGAGCTGGTAGACGCAATTGTGAGTGCCCCTGGGTAGTAGCTGGTGAGTTTACAGGCCACCAGCTACGAGCACTGTCAAAACTGATTATTGCCTCTGCACAGACCTGTTGTGGTGGTTGAGAATCAGGAGGGGTAAGTCCAGTGTCATTGTTGCTTATGAGAAGGAAAGTGATTCAGCACAGGTGTGTTTGAGAATGAGTTGTGGCTGCATGCTGTCTCCTTACCTCCTGCATTTTGCTGAGGAAGCAGTCAATAAAATCCTGAGGGGCACTGGGATCCAGGGAGGCTTGATGCAGCTTCACCTCCTCTGCAACAAATGCTTTTATGGCATCGGTTTCTATGAATAAATTGTTGTGTGGGCCTGGCAAATAATCCAGGATGTAGGAGAACATCTGGTATAACTGGAAGGAAAGAAACAGTAAGGTCCTCGGTGTGACCATTGCCCTAGCCTTTGTGATTAGCCAAAAGCAGGCAGGCTCAACTCCCTCAGCTTAGCCAAGTAGAAGGGCTGTGGGGCTGTGCATTCCATCAGAGCAACTGTGACCTGCTTGGTCACAGCATGAAATCTCAGAGTTATTGAATGGTTTGGGATGCAAAGGACCTTCAAGATCATCTAGTTCCAACTCCACTGCGGTGGGGTGGCAAGGGTGCTTACTGTCTTGAAGATATTCCCTTTTCTGCAGCAGAGTGTTGATGGGTCCTACTGTGAAGGATGAGATGAGACTTTCCTGTGAGGAAGGCCTCCTGCTCCCCTGACAAAATGTCCCCACTATGAAATATCTGCTGAATGTACCTGTCCCCAGCGGGAGTTGCTCAGTTCAAATACGTGGTTCATGTGGTTCATCAGGGACAGGAACTTTTTGTCTTTGTAGTCATATCGTTTCCCAAAGA